TCAACACAAAACCGTTTTTCAGACCAGGTACGGTCTGTACGAGTTTGTGGTGATGCCTTTCGGCCTTTGTAATGCTCCTGGCACCTTCCAGCATGTCATGAACCAGATTTTTCATGACTACTTGGACAAGTTTGTCATCGTGTACCTCGATGACATACTTATCTTTAGTAGGACTGTCGAGGATCATGTAGCCCACTTAGACAAAGTCTCCTCAGACAGCAGCAGTCCAAGATTAACCGGGAGAAGTGCGAGTTTGGCCGCACCCGGAACTTGTATCTGGGTCATGAGATTTCCGCAGAGGGATTGAAGCCCGATGATGCGCAGGTGGCCCACATTTGTGACTGGCCGTGTCCTCAGTCTGTGACTGAGATGAGGTCCTTCTTAGGGATGACCGGCTACTACCGCAATTTTGTGAAGATCGCAAGATTCTATCGTCCGGGTTAGGTCCCTGTTGCTCATAAGCTACAGCACTGTTTACAATATGCACTAGAACACTCTAGATGCCTACCGCAGCATAATGCACAGACCAATTAATTGGTGGCTATGTCAGAGGATACACAGTTGGGTCCAACAGGTAAGTTCAGATTCCTACAAACGAAGCTATTTTTACTTGACTAGTCCGCAAACAGAAAGCAGATGAGGAGAAACTGTTCTACCTATGCTGTCTGTCAGATGTCAATGGCTGTAACATCTAACTAATCAGAATGGCTGTTGGCAGAATGGAATTTGTCCCGAACTTATCACCTGGAATCTACCCCTCCCTTAGTTCTCCCTGATTGTCACTTGACGTCAGCGTTCCTGAGCGATCTGGATAGCATGCGTGTCTGAAGGTGTGCACACGGCCCACCCCTGTGCCCCGAGTACCTTTGCGTGCAGCGAGCCGTACACCGACTGATTGGCTGATCAAGAGGCGTTTAAGGATGACCCCCGAAGTCCTCAGGAATTGTTTAACGTCGCAGACAGGTCGACGATCACAGCCAATGGAAGGTAACCCCGCCGGTGCTTGTTTATAGACGCCCGGTACTCGTCTCCCCTGTAGGGCTGGCCTGCCCCTCATAACCCATCTATCAGCACAGTAGGCAGACAAAGGACAAAGCAGCAATGCATGCGTGCTCTACTCCTGGTGGGTTGGCGTGGTGACCGTGACCCAGTGCTCCGCCCAGGGCCCTTCAGATAGCTCCACCCTCTCCTTTCAGATGCTCCACGTGAATAATGCCGACTCTCAAGGTTAAGCGCACTTGACTCCTCACATGAGAGGAATCTCAAGACAGAACACCCATCCTCACGGTAAGAAATGTCGAAGAGGGTAGATATGGTTAAGAGCAACGTACCTCCCGACTCTCAAGGTTAAGCTCACTTGACTCCTCACATGAGAGGACTCTCAAGACATAACACCCATCCTCACGGTAAGAAGTGTCGAAGAGGGTAGATAAGGTTAAGAGCAACGTACCTCAAAATAGCTGCCCCCAACCACAGATATTCTCACCAGATGACCTGACGCCGATTGTGATAACCAGTCGCTGCTTCAGCACAACCAGCATTACACCGCCGTTCCACCTCAGCATCAATCACACATCAGATAGTTCTCATCACACTGCGAACACCCATGGCGATCCCCTCTCCATCTGGGTCGCCTGCTTGCCTTTGCCCTCCTCACTACACACCTCCCACGGCCTCTCGCCCAGCAGACCGCGTGCATGTACCATATTGGCAGAAGACAAGCGCCAGATTAGCGCAACGTAACCTCGCTCCGATAGAAACCAAGCAGCGTCATACACATGTAACCAGAGAGTCGTGACCTCGAACCAAAAGCAGAATTGCAACACGAGTTCCACGAAATAAGAGCACAGCCAAAGCTCATATGTGACAATGTTGGAGTAGTCTCATCATCATCAACCAAGAACCAATGTCGACTTCCTATCTGGCGCTCTGCGCCCAGACTACAAATGGCAGATCCTATCTAGCCTATCTACAATGCCGCTGGTGACGTCAACAGCTCCCCAAAGTACGAGCAGATCTCGGCCAATGCCGTTCGCCTCAAGCACCAGGTATGTCTCTCGTCATTCACAACCTCGATCCCCCACTCATAGATGCCACTTGCACCCAAGGACCCCCATGCGCCCCATCTAGCATAGCGCAGCGCAGCTCGGCTATGGCTGTCTGCTCTTCCTGCTCGCCCATGAGCGCGTGGGCGCTGGCCAACGCTTAGCACAGCAGCGCTTGCGCAGCATGCAGCCAGTGCCCGAATGCCAAATGTGAGGGCAGGCACTTTCCGAAATGGAAGTGGCCTTCCTGCTGCGTGTGGCCTGGCTGCACTGGGGCCCTGCGCAGAAGCTTCGGGTAGGCCCTGAGAGCCTGAGCCCCGGTCCAAACGATTCAGGCCCAGGGCCTGTGACGGTTGCGTGTGCCCAACTGCCCGCAGCCTGTGTTCGGCCCATGTTGTGTATCTGGCCCAGGGCCTGCCTCGGTTACGTACAAAAAAGGCAGCCAGGGCCTGGACGCTCTCAACCAACTGGCGCTGCGCAACTGCATGAATTTCCCCAGTTGCATGGTGGCCGAAAAGTAGGCCTCTTGGCCTTGGTCGGGCCCACCTTCACTTAGGGTGGTCGACAGTGCTGCTTACAGGCGCAAAAAGGGGCTCGTTGGGGCATATCTCACACATTTTTTTACTTTTTTTCTGTTTTGCTGTTGGTTTATTTGGTGTCCGCTCTATGGGCTGCTGACAAGTCTGGCTTAAAAGGTGTGGGACGTTTGTTATAATGACCCTCAAAAAAACCTCCTGAAAATTTAGGGGTCTGTTAACCGCTTCTGTCCTAGTGGCGGTGAGTATAGTGGAAGCGATTTGTGGATGAATGGTCTGTCCCGAGGCTGGTCATCTATCAGGAGCTGATCTTAAATAGCCATGCAAGTTTGTAGCTACCAACACTACCGTCTTCACGTGAATAGAACGCGTGGTCATTGCAGCTCACCTGTTGAAATCATTTATTGCATTCATGCTAGAGTGGTGAGTAAAATGGAAGCCATTTGCACATGAATGATGAATGGGATGTCCTGAGGTGATGTTGTTGCCAATTGTGGCCTGGTTTCCTCAATGTTCTGGCACATACGATTTTCAACGTCGCTGCACGAGGGAAAGACGTTGTGAGATCGTGTAGTGGATCGGCAATTGTGGCCGAACACGTCCGAGCAATTATCCCACTGGAGCTGATCTTGAATAGTCATGAAAGTTTGTATCTAACCACACAACCGTCTTCACCCGAATACAACACGAGGTCATTATCGTTGTATCTGGTGCAATTTGCAGTCTAGATACAGCAGTAATGACCGGGCCTTCTATTCGGGTGAAGACGGTAGCCATGCTGTTTGGCCCGTCTGCACTGTGAGCTGTGTGGTGTGCAGTGTGTGAAGAACTTGCTTGATGCGCAAATAAGTAGTTGAAATTTTTGAATTTTTCTTGCGTACGAGGTTGACGTTTGGTAATTTGGATATCTAAGGACACTCTGGCTGGTTCAGATCCAGTCCAGACTCCAGACAGATCTGGCTCGGCAACCACCAAGCACTTAACCCCTGAGCGCCACTCTTGCTCATACCCGACCGTTGAACCAGTTCCTCCTCTTGGAAGGCCTTGTCTTATTCTTCTACATTCTTTGGCCTTTCGGTCCTCGGCATGTGTGACCTTGATGTTTTCCTCGAAGGCCTTGTCTTATTCTTCTACTCTCCGTCTTGCCAGTTCCTCCTGTTGGAGCTGAGCGGCTGAAATCCTGCTTGAAGCCGCCACCTCTCTTTCCTCCCACTGCACTTGTTTCCATTCCACAGGTGGGGAGGACTTGGAAAAAAGAAGGGAAAAAGGACCTGATTGTACCAAATCGTGGTAAAATTAACACTGCCTTGTTTCTTTTGGTGCTTAGCCTATTTTTTTGTTTTTCGGAGGGGGGGGGGGGTAGGTTGGGGAGGCCAGTTGCTCAATTTATGTGTGTCATTCTTGGGCAGGGGCCCTGCTAATTACCCTTTTTCTGTGTCGTTCCAAATTCCAATTTTAACGGATGTCCCAAAGGATTTGGTGCTCAAACCGTCACTACCTCCGAGCCGCTTTTTGCCGAGATGCCAAGCTTTTGCCAAAGCGCCAGCGCGGCGCTTTTTGTTGTTTTCTGTTGGCTGGTGCCGCCAGCCCTTCTGGTCCTGTAGCACCCGACCTCCGCCGGCTCCGAAGAATGCAGTGTAGGTTATTCTTACGACTTAGCTCTCCAGCCTTAAAGGTAGTGGTCAGGAAACCTGATGCCCTGCTCATCACTTTGTCAAGAGCTGTGTTTCCCTATGCCTAATGGATCAAATGCCCTCGGACAAAAAAAGGCTTATGCTAGTCTGAAAGGTCCAGAACTTCTTTTTTTTTTTTCATGAGATAGGCCAAAATTCAGAAAAAGTCTGAAGAAGCTTGGAAAAATATGAGAGCGGAGGGTCAAAACTGAACCCACCTACTATCCAAAACTCCTCCCGTCAACAGACGGAACGTCAGTCCAGGCTTTCAGAAAGGTCCAGAACTTAACAAATAGCAGAGCTTAGTCTTGGCAACCAGAGACTGACTGTACTAAAAAAAAAACAATAGGCAGAGAATAGACAGTATTAAACACATACTTATGAGAGGTCCGTGGTTCAAAGCGTGCTGCCCCTTAACATACCGCAGAACAAGTCACTGGCCCCTTGCATGAAAATGGAAATTCAAATGTTGGTATTTGTTCAAGACCAAGAAAAGAAAAGATGGCGAATGGGTTTGTCAGATACTTACCCTGCTACCGTCGTAACCCTAATAGAACGGACACTCATTATTGCTGTATTTAGGGCAGCTTTCAGTCTAGATACTGTGAGAATAACCGTACATTCTATTCGGGGGAAGAGAGAACTCGTATGGCAGTTGTTTCTTGCCACTTGCCAGGGAGTAGTGATATTGTGTGGTCGTCTCACCCACTTTTTTTTTGGTCGGATGGCCGTGTCTTCTTTCGCAGCTCTGATGCGTCATCAGGATCTTCCTCGAACCGGAATTCTACCTACGGCTTCTCTGACAAGGTGAGGGAAGACTTGTCCGGGTTGTCCCGAATTTGCAAGCACGCCAGTGGCTCCCATCATGCAGCTCACCCTTGCTAACTTTGTTTGTGGTCTCTGAAGAGGAAGCTGTTTGTCAGATAATCTAAGGCACCTTTCGTTCCCTTCTTCAGTGTATATGGAACGCGACATCTACCTCACTTCGATATGTTGAAGACTTGAACACATTCGATATCATATCATGTTGGCTGTCTGTCTGGTGGATGTTGCATATCTCTGATGTATTGGGTATCCAACACGTTGGGTCTCTCTGACACTTAGTTATTTCCAACTAGTTGAATGTCGTGTTGGATATCTCCTTGGCATGTGGGATATCCCGCATGCTCTCTCTCTCTCTCTCTCTCTCTCTCTCTCTCTCTCTCTCTCTCTCTCTCCTGTCTCTTATACACATCTAGATGTGTATAAGAGACAGAGATAGCACACATAAACCTCTCTCTCTCTCTCTCTCTCTCTCTCTCTCTCTCTCTCTCTCTCTCTCTCTCTCTCTCTCTTGCGAGATATCCAACATGTGGGATATGTCCTTTGCCATCGAACTCCAGTGTTCGAATGAATTCCATTGCACTCATTCTTCTCTTGCGGTCGATCGCCTCTCGTCGAAGAGTGGTGCACAGTGACACGTCCAACGGCTAACAATCTGGCGTGTGAACTTTGTGCCAGTCTTGTCTGAATTGCAGGCATCTCACCATAATTCTTTTCAAACGAGGCCTTGTAAATCCTGGTCTGGAATCTGAAGACCGAACTCTTGACTGAAGTCCAAGAAATTTTGCCTCTCTGGGCTGGATTTCCAACAAGCCTTTATGGATATCCCTTGGATATGCAACATGCTGGATTGATAATAGGATCCAACACGCTTCAGATATGGAAAAGGCAGACAGGGACGCATGGATAGCGGCATGCATGACGGTGTGCACACCTCTCTCTCAACACGCAAGAGAGAGTGAGAGAGAGAGAGAGAGAGAGGTACTGAAGGCCAGATGCACGTGAGAGTCCAGTCTGGATCCTCTTGTACATTGCTCGGCATTCTGTGCCATTTTCTTTCCAAAGAAGTTCCTACATGGGTCTGCCTAGCGTTTTCTTCTTTCGTCCTACCTCCCCCCCCACCCCACCCCCCTTGGTCCTTCGTTTTTGCAGCTCATTTCTGGCAGCGAGTGGCTGAGGAGGGGTGGGTGGGACTGGCGGTTTACAAGCTGTCTGATTTTATGATGAGGCTGCCCAGGACTTGGCTGGGACCTTGTCGCGAACCTTGCCTGGCTTAGCAATCCAAGCAGCCAATGGCAGGTGTGCAATCAGACTCACTCTCATTCACACTTTTCATGCATGTAAACAGTAGCGCAGCAAACTGCCGACATCCGCCCACTCAAAACTCGGAGATATGGAAACCCAGATACGAGTTCACTTTCAATGACTATGGTGACTCAGCGCCCAAACAACTCACTGTTCACATACACCGGATCACCCTGGATATCCCACACGCGTTACTCAACACTCACACACACACACACTATACACTAACTCTAGCTATGGCGGCTATGGCCGCGACTACCCTATCGCTATGCTACGCTCCTTCCCTCTCGCCCACTTCAGCTCCGGGCTCACTGCAGACCTCCTTGCACAAGTCGCTGTGGCAGCGCTTCCGCATGGCTCACGCAGGAAATGAATGAATGGCTGGGCGCTGCATCTTGATTTATACTTCTGAAACTCGTTGGTCTGCCCCTTTTCCATCAGCCCATGGTGCTCACAGTCCCTTGTGGTACTTGCTGGACCGGACTGGGACTGACTGGACCTTACCGCTTACTGAATGGGGACTCACTGCTAACCTACCGAGGTCGTACGGCAATTGCACTGCAGTTAGTCCACCACTTGACTCACCACTCGCCCACTTGCCCACTTGCTGACCTTCTAGAAGGATTATAGCTAAGACTTCTGGAACTCGCTAAGACTTCTATTCTACAGATCTACAGATCGAACCCCTGCTACCTACTGACCTATGACAGCCTACCAACTGTTTATGAATACACAGGTCACAGGTTCGACTCTCGGGGTCTACACAGGTACTGTACACAGGTAGGGCAAGGTCTAGGGATCGAGCCCTGGGATCTGCATCTGCTACTGCAAAGAGGTGAAAACCGTTTCAGGTGGAGCCGGGGAAGGTACGCCAGCAGCTTAGTTAATTGCTGATAAATTTAGTAGAAGTAAATTGAGTCGTCTAGTTCTTGTTATAGTTGAGTTCTGTTTGTTACGCTTCTTAGCAACGTGTGTCCCTCGACCATCCGCCACCCCCTGTTCTGTGTCTCCTCATCCTCTCACTTGTTTGTTATTACTTGGAAATCTGCAAGTGCATTCGCACTAAAAGACGTTTTCGAGGGATTTGTGGACGTAATACGGTCAGATATGTTGACGAAGCACAGTATTTGCAGTCGTATACATTCAGGAAAGCCGTAATGTGACCATGCTACGGCACGCTTCGAGTGACCACATGTTCTGATTTCTTTCTTCTGGACGCTTGTGCATTTCTTGCTGCTTGGCAGGTTGCAGATGGTGTGACCGTGAATGTTGGTGAACTGAACATCATGCTTGAAACACTGGGAAGTGCTGGATCGGAAGGGGCAGATGCAGCTTCTTGGTAGGCTTGAAACCTGGTGTTTTTTTTTTTTTTTCTCCTTCGGGACATCCATTAAAATTGGAACGATACGGAGAAGATTAGCATGGCCCCTGCGCAAGGATGACACACATTAATCGAGAACTGGTCCAAATTAAAAAAAAAAAAAAAAAAGAAGAAACCTGGTGTTTTTTTAATTAAAAGTTAAAACATTTTTCCTGGGCTTGGGTATTATCCATCAGTGGATAGTTTATTATTTTATTGTTTTGGCAAATCTTTGACTCTGTGACCGGGGCATAATCGACGCTGAGCGATCGGGATGTTTTGTCAATCAGCGACCGTGTGAGAAATGTTTCGCAATTGGAATGGTACTCCCACAGTTATGTCCAAATCATTGCAGGGTCCTGGGTGCATGGTGCCCACCTTTTTATTTTTGGAACAGGCTTCCAGGCAAATCCAGCCTCAGCTGCTAAATTTTCGAAACTCC